AAAGAAAGAAAGAAAGAGAAAGAAAGAAAGAAAGAAAGAAAGAAAGAAAGAAAGAAAGAAAGAAAGAAAGAAAGAAAGAAAGAGGGAGGGAGGGAGGGAGGGAAAGGAAAGGAAAGGAAGGAAAGAAAGAAAGAGAGAGAAAGGAAGGAAGAAAGAAAGAAAAAGAAAGAAAGAAGGAAAGAAAGAAAGAAAAAAAAGAGAGAAAGAAAGAAGGAAGGAAGGAGAAAGAAAAGTCCTTAGCACATGTAAATGCTTTACAAATATTTTGGATTTCATTGTTATTATTATTACCTCTTCTAGCTCAGGCATTCCAACCCTCCCCAGCCCCTTCCTGTCCTCATCTCTTACTTCTATTCCCAAGTCCTCTCCTGCTATCCAGTCAACATCCCCTTCTGTTTTATGCCAGGGGCTGTCATGATTCCAGGTATCACTCAGCTGATGGAGAAGGACCTCAAGTACCGGCTGCAGGCATCCAGGGCCAAGTCCATTATCACCAGTGACTCCATAGCTCCAAGGGTGGATGCCATCAGCGCTGAGTGCCCCTCCCTCCAGACCAAGCTGCTGGTGTCAGAGAGCAGTCGGCCAGGCTGGTTGAACTTCAGGGAACTCCTCCGGTGAATTGGGGCTCTCCAGGAGAACATCAGAAAAATAAAGCCATTTCCCCCTTAAGCAACAAAAGATGAAATCTTTGCTGATTTCACACATAGAGAGTGAATCAGACAGGAACTCTCCCATTGGCAGCCAGACTGACATGAGCGTAATCCTGGTCACTATCTCGATGTTCAAGGTCACTCATTCAGTCAGTGCTGGATTTGTCAGCAGCTTTGCTTCATGCTTCTACAATGGTGGTGGTAGTTATTAGAGCTACAATCCAGAGTATATGAAATAACCTATATGGTGCATTTAGTACACAGCAGGTGGTCATTTAATAATAAATTAGTGGCCATGTATTGGGTACTTAGGATATTGCTCGATACTGTGCTACATAAGCCCTCACCTTCATTCATTCATGTAACGAAGAATTAATGAACATCTATTTTGTGACAAGCATTGTGTTTGGTGTTCAGAACACCATAATGGATAAGGCATCGTCTTATTTAATCCCTGAAAAGGACATTAGAATGTGCACTTTAACCCAGTTTTACAGATGAGGAAACTGAGACTTGGAAAACTAAAGTTACTTGCCCAAGGTGCTAAAAAGTAGTCAAGTCAGGATTGGGCAGAGCCAAGACCACATTTGCCTTGGAGCAAGGACCTGGTGGAAACCCATCTGAGAATTTGGGACTTTGTTCTGATTGGAAGCCAGAACCCAAAAGGGACCTCTCAGGCGCCTGAACCATTGAGTCACAAACGCTCACCCCACAGACTGGCTGCATCAGATTCACCTCGGTGCTGTTTTGCAAATAGATGACAAGGCCTCACATCTGACCTTCTTAACCAGACATAGCTGAGCAAGAGCCGTGGGGATCTGTTTTCAAAAATCAGCCCATAGGGTTGGGTGCAGTGGCTCATGCCTGTAATCCCAGTACTTTGGGAGGCTGAGGCAGGCAGATCACCTGAGGTCAGGATTTCAAGACCAGCCTGACCAACATGGAGAAACCCCGCCTCTACTAAAATATACAAAATTAGCCAGGCCTGGTGGCACATGCCTGTAATCCCAGCTACCTGCGAGGCTGAGGCGGGGATCGCTGGAACTCAGGAGGCGGAGGTTGTGGTGAGCCGAGATTGTGCCATTACACTCCAGCCTGGGCAACAAGAGCAAAACTCCATCTCAAAAAAAAAAAAAAAAAAAGCCCATTTTGATGAGCTGTCAGGTGGGCCTAGATCAGTGGTTCTCAATTTTGGTTGTTATTAGAATTACCTGAGAAGCATTTAAGAAAACATCAAAGATTCTGATTTTATTTTGTTCAGAGTGGGTACAGGCAAGTTTCTTCCAAAAATGCACTAGAGAACTTCAAGGTACACCCAGGGTTGAGAGCCAGTAGATTAGCTGATTATCCAGATCACAGAACTTTGGGAATTACCTAGATCTCAAAACCCCATATTGGGGGAAATCTTTAGAAAACAGTTCTAAATCATTAAATTTAATAATTAAATTTATTATTAATAATAATAAATGGGGTGGGGTGGAAATTGTGCCTAAATGTGCAGAATTATAGACATGGACATGTGTGTATTCTACCAGAAAGTCCTCATGCCTTGGTAAGAAAGCATGGACTCTTTTGAGTGAGTTATTTAACCATTTTGAGCCTCAGTTTCCTTGTCTGCAAAAGGGTTACAATGACAGTACCTACCCCATGAGGCAGTTGCAGATGACCCATGCCGGACATCTCAGCACAGCACCTCACACGTGGTATTATGAAATGGTAGTCATATTATATTGTTGTTATACATGTTATAGGTGCTACTATTTTTACTATGGTAGTGCTACCGAGATTTTTCACCTTTTACAGGGAGGCATCTACAGAACACAACTGCGTGAGGACAAAGAGTCGAGACCCGCTGGTCATCTGCTTCACCAGCGGAACAACCGGGGCCCCCAAGATGGTCGAGCACTCCCAGAGCAGCTACGGCCTGGGTTTTGTGGCCAGCGGAAGGTACCAGAGCATCTTGTCTAGAGGGTCCAAGAACAGAAAGTGATGAGTGGGCTGGAGGGGGTGGTTTGAGGGGGAAGGTGTCAGGAGCTGAGGTCAGTGAGCCAACGGGGCAGCTCGGGAAGGATCTTGATGGTTCTGGATTTTACTCTGAGTGAGGTGAAAAGCTATTGGAGGTTTCTTTTTAAGTCATGGCGCTCTCTCTCTCTCTTTATATATATATATATATATATATATATATATATATATATGTAGTACCCTTTTAACCATTTTAAGTGTACAGTTTAATGTCATTAAATACATTCACACGGTTGTATAACAATCATCACCATCCATTTTCAGAATTTATTTTATCTTTCCAAATGAAAACTCTGCCCCCATTACACAATAACATCCCATTACCCTCTCCCCTCGCCCCTGGTAACCTCTATTTTACCTTTCATCTTTATGAATTTGATACTCTAGGTATTTCGTGTGATTGGCATCATGCAGTCTGTCCTTTTGTTTTGCAATTTGGCTTCTTTCACTTAGCATAATGTTTTTAAGGTTCATCCATGTCGTAGCATGTGTCAAAATTTTCTTCCAAGACTGAAAAATATTCCATTGTATGGAGAGACCACATTTTAAATAATCCGTTCATCTGTTGATAGACACTTGGGTTGCTTCCACATTACAGCTATTGTCAATAATGTTGCTATGAACACTGGCGTACAAGTACCTGTTTGAGTCTCTGCTTTTAATTCTTTCATATATGCAGAAGTGAAATTGCTGGACCATGTGGTAATTCTATGTTTGATTTTTTTTGAGAAGCATTGGATATTTTGAACAGAGGAGTGACATAATCTAATATGTTTTTTGAAAGCCTCACTCAGGATGTTGGGTTGACAGTGAACTGTAGGGAAAACAAGTAAACAACATGACTGGTGCATTAAGAGGCAAGCATGGTTGGGGAGTAGTAGTAGGAGAAGCGATGAGATTCTGAATATATTTTCAACCTAGACTTAATAAGACTTTCTGACAGATTCAATGTGGAATGAGAAGGAGAAGTCAAAGATGGCTCTAAGTGGAATGGCCTGAATAACCGGAAGCACTAAATGATGGGGGAAGAACTGTGGGATAAGCTGTATGGTGGGAAGAAAGCAGAGTATATTTATGGAGTTGTCGATTTGAGAGGCTTCTTAGACATTTCCATCCTGTTGTTAAAAGGGGAGATGTTGAGTGGGCATTTGGATATACATGTCTGAAGTTAGTGAGAAAGATTCATGCTGGACTTATCAGTGTAAAGATGGTATTTAATACTATGAGATAGGATGAGATCAGCAAATTGTAATATAAACTGAAAAGAGAATGGGTCTCAGGACTGAGTGCCTGAGGCATTTCTGCACTGAAAGGGGAGACCAGGAGGACTCAGCAGAGGAGACTGAGAGGGAACAGCTAACGAAAAGGAGGAGAACCAGTAGTGCGTGTGTCCCAGAATTCAAGTGCATGATCACTTTTCTGTCTTCCACATTTTCAGACACTGCTTTCCATTCTTGGGATGCTCTTGGTTCTCTGCCTCACCTATTTAATCCCTGTGCATTGTTTATGTCTAACTCAAGTGTCACCTCCTCTAACGGAGCATTTCTCAGAAGCCCATCTCCATCATTGCTCTGGGTTAGGTCCTATTCTCTGTAATTGCACAAGGCTTTATGTTTAGCTCTATTAAAATACGCTCTCCAGGGGTCTCCTAGATATTTATACTTCCTAACTATAAGCCCCTCAAAGCAAGACTAGTCATTCTTTTCTATATCCCTAATGCTAAGTTTGGACTAAGTGCTAAATAAATGTTGGCTAAATAAAATGACCTTAGTGCAATATTAAGGTTAATTTTTTCCCCTTATAGATCACATTCACTGGACTGTGAACTTTTTTGGAAACTCTTTTGCTTCTGTATTCTTAGCCTAGAGCATAGATACAGAGAAGATGCTTACCAAATGCTTGTTGAGACAATAGTTGGCCTAATGGTTCTTGTTCAGGTACAACAAATATAAGTGAGTACCCACTGTGGGCAGGGTTCCAAATGAGGTGATATAAATAATACGATCCTTTTTTAAAGGTAGAATCATTGCCGAGGGTGCTGACATTCTCTAATTTTTGGCAGACGGTGGATGGCCTTGACCGAATCGGACATCTTCTGGAACATGACTGACACTGGCTGGGTGAAGGCAGGCTGGACTCTGTTCTCTGCCTGGCCTAATGGATCTTGCATTTTTGTGCATGAGCTGCCCCAAGTTGATGCCAAAGTGATCCTGAATGTAAGAAGAAAAACCAACACCCCCCCCATATGTGTTGGGTATAAGTGAGATGAGTGGGATACAGATTCTAGGCTGCAGGAGAAAACACATGAATCAGTGAATTTAAGGCTTCTTTGGTGTGGCTCCCCAGCCTTCCATAATCTGATTCCTGACCACCTGGTTCTCTTCAGTCATTGCCTACATTCTACCTAGATTCCTAGATATCCAAACCTGTGCATATTCTATTTCTCCTGCATGGGGGTTGTCCCTGTCTCCACCACTTTCTTTCCTATGCTCTTGCCGAAACTCTAGGTATTTGTCAAACCCTTAGGCAAAATCAGTCTGTGCCTCAACTCCAAATGCTACTGTCCATGGTGCTTAACATGAGTAATTGGCCCAAGCAGAAAGTCCTGGTGACTCCTGCTCAGCCTCCCAGGGTCTTCTCATAGGGAGGGAGGAGATTGGTGTATATATTTATACACCAATTTATACATGCATTGCATGCCTACATCAAAGCATCTCATGTACCCTATAAATATATAGGGTACATGAGATGCTTTGATGTAGGCATGCAATGCATGAAAATCACATCATAGAGAATGAGGTATCCATCCCCTCAAGCATTTATCTTTTGTGTTACAATCTAATTATACTCTTTTAGTTATTTTTAAATGTGCAATTAAGTTATTATTGACTATAGCCATGTTGATGTGCTTTCAAATAACAGGTCTTATTCATTCATTCTATTATTTTGGTACCAACAAACCATCCTCATCTTCCTCCCAGCCCCCCACTACCCTTCCCAGCCTCTGATAATTTTTTGGTACCTACTAACCATCCTTATCTCTCCCCACAATGCTCCTATTACCCTTCCCAGCTTCCAGTAACCATCCTTCTAATCTTTATTTCCATGAGTTCAATTGTTTTGACTTTTAAATCTTACAAATAAGTGAGAACATGTGAAGTTAGTCTTTCTGTGTTTGACTTATTTCATTTAACATAATGATTGCCAGTTCTACCCATGTTGTTGCAAATGACAGTACCTCACTGTTTTTTGTTTTGTTTTGTTTTGTTTTTTGCCTCCATTGTGTATATGTACATTTTCTTTATCCATTCATCTGTTGATGGGCACTTAGGTGTCCATAGTAGATTTTTAAAAATTTATTTTCATAGGTTATTGGGAAACAGGTGGTGTTTGGTTATAAGTTCTTTACTGGTTATTTGTAAGATTTTGGTGCACGCATCACCTGAGCAGTATTCACTGCAACCAGTTTGTAGTCTTTTAACCCTTGCTCCCTTCCCATCCTTTCCTCCAAGTCCCCAAAGTCCATCGTGTCATTCTTATAGCTTTGCATCCTCATAGCTAAGCTCCCGCTTATGAGGGAGAACATAAAATGTTTGGTTTTCCATTCCTGAGTTATTTCACTTAGAATAATAGTCTAAGTGAAATAATAGGTCCCTGTGAATACCATTAATTCATTCCTTTTTATGGCTGAGTAGTATTCCATTAGATAGATAGATAGATAGATAGATAGATAGATAGATAGATAGATAGATAGCAATTACAAACTGTGCTGCTACAAACATGCATGTTCAAGTATCTTTTTCATATAAAGACTTCTTTTCCTCTGGCTAGATATCCAGTGGTGGGACTGCCAGATCAAATGGTGGTTCTACTTTCAGTTATTTAATGAATCTCTACATTGTTTTGTACTAGTTTACATTCCTACCAGCAATGTAGAAATGTTCCTTGTTCACTGCATCCATGCCAACATATATATATTTTTAATTTTTTGATTATGACCATTCTTGCAGGAGTAAGCTGGTATTGCATGGTGGACCAAATTTGGTAGATTCTTAACATATATTGATTGTTATCATCATGATCAAACTCATCATCATCATTATCCATGTAGTGCTTGATCAGCCAATGTATGAACCTTCTCCTTGCACTACCCCCAGCTATGACATAGTGTTTTCATTACCTATTGCTATGTAATAAATTATACCCAAACTTAGCAGTTTAAAAAATAGGAATTTATCTCACAGTTTCTGATGGTCAGGAAGCTGGAGGCAGCTTAATGAGGGGGTTTGGGAGTAGGATCTCTCATGAGGTTGCAATCAAGAGGTCAGCAAGGTATGCTCATGTTTGTAGCAGCATTAACAACAACTAAAAGGTGAAAGCAACACAAGTTTCCATCAACAGATAAATGAATAAACAAAATGTGGTATATACGTGCAATGGAATATTACCCAGCCTTAAAAAGGAAGGACATCTTGTTATATGATATAATGTGGATAACCCTGGAGGACATCATGCTAAGTGAAACACACCAGTCATACAAGGACAATTACTGTTTGATTCCACTTACATGAGATACCTAGAGTAGTCAAATTCATAGAGACAGAAAGTACAATGGTGTTTGCCAGGAGTTAGAGGAATGAATAATGGGAAATTATTGTATAATGGGTACAGAGTTTAAGTTTCAGAAGATAAAAATAGTTCTGGAGGTGGATGGTAGTGATAATGGCACAACACTGGAAATATTTAATGCCACCAGACTATACACTTAAAAGGCATTCCAACAGGTAAATTTTATGTCGTATTTTACCACAATAATTTTTTAAAAGATATTAGCTAGGACTTTAATCATCTTAAGGATTGACTGAAGCTGGAAAATTGCTTAAAAGCTCACTGGTGGTTTTTAGCCGACTTCAATTTCTCACTGGCTGTTTGCTAGAGGCTCCAGTTTCTCACTGTGTGCACCTGTCCATAGGATGGCTTGAGCATACTGAAAACATGGTGGCTTGCTTTCCCCAGAATAAAGGATCCAAGAAAGGGAGAGAGAGTAAGAACATCCAAGACAAAAGCCATCGTCTTTGTACAACTGAATCTTGAAAGTGGTATTTGTCACCTCGGCAGTATGTCATTGCTGTCACAGACCCACTTTGGTATGACAGGAGAGGGGATTCCTCCAAAGGTGCAAATGTCAGGAAGTGGGGGGGTCATTGGGCACCATCTTGGAGGCTGGATACCACACACAGTTTTCAACTTCTCTGCTTTGGTAGTGAGAATATAAAGATGCAGTGCCTTTGGCTCCATCTTCATGGTCCCACCCCAGTGATTCTAAGGACATCTTTCACCCTTTGTTTTTGTCTAGACTCTCTCCACATTCCCGATAACCACCCTCTGCTGTGTCCCAACCATCTTCCGTCTGCTTGTGCAGGAGGATCTGACCAGGTACAGCCCATCTGTTTGCTGCTTCGAGAGCCTAAGTATATGAATATATAGCATGGGTATACACACACATACAACTATCCTCTCATTCCAACTCTCTCTGTCTCTCTATATATATGTTTTCTGTTTCTGTCTTTGTCTCTCTCTCTCTTGCACACACATTTATACATGCATACATATTGACAAGTCAACATACCGGTAAACCTCACAGATGCCCCTCAAGAACAAGCTTCTGGCTCCCCAAAATTTGTATCCATATGGAATCAAATAGATTTAAGGCAGTCTGAGATGCCCCTCAAGAACANAGATTTAAGGCAGTCTGAGATGCCCCTCAAGAACAAGCTTCTGGCTCCCCAAAATTTGTATCCATATGGAATCAAATAGATTTAAGGCAGTCTGAAATTTTAGCACCTGAGATAGGCTTCACCGCACACCATACACCCATGGGCTATTCTCTCAGCAACGTCTCTGCTACTTCTGTGAGGCAAGAGAAATGATGGGACAATTGTTAGCCACCTATGGAGTAGGATTTGTGGCCAGGGCCCTCAGGTCTGGCAAAACTAACAAGCCCACACCACGGTGTATGGATGCCCCGACTCTCTTCCTCAGACTAACCCCAGCCAATTGTTCTCTGAGATCATGCCAGTGGGCACCCAAGAGAAGGGGACAAGACGCTGAGGATGTTTCCATCCTGGGTGGAACCAGAGCAACATCTTCTGACAGAACAGGACTAGTTGCTGTGGCATATGGACAGAGGCCCACCGTCCTTCAGTACCTTCCAACCCTGACCTGTTCTCCCTCTTTTGTCCTCCCCCAAGTCCTGAGTCATCCTGTTCCCGTCTCATCATCCCTAGTCACAGGAATCTACCCACAAAGTGTCCAAAAAGAGGGAGTTCTTATATGCATCTAAAGGGGAATTCTTCTACAATGTAAGAAATTCATCCCATTCATTGCTCTGATGTGTGCATCTCCACAATATAATTTTAGCTGAAAGCAAGCTCCTAGTACCTTGTCAAGAACGATGTCATTGAATGCTATTTGGTAATACTAAGTAACTTAATCAAACCAATTTGATCTCCCCTCTCCCCCAGGATTGAAACTGTACTTGCAATCACTAATTTTTTTTAACAGTTTGGATGATTTGTTGAACAGAGAGGGCATTTTGCAACATAATTAATATCTGTAGGAATTTTTGGCCCATTCATCAGAATTTTGGGATTCTTAGAGAGCTGTCTTTTCAGTTATCTTTTCTTTCTTTCTCTTCTTTCTCTTTCTCCCTTTCTCTCTCTCTTCCTTCGTTCCTTCCTTCCTTTCTTTCTTTCTCTCTTTCTCTTCTTTCAGTTCTCACTCTGTCACCCAGGCTGGAGTGCAGTAGTACAATCTCAGCTCACTGCAGCCTCTATCTCTCAGGCTCTGGTTTTCCTCCTCAGCCTCCCAAGTAGCTGGGACTACAGGCATGTGCCCCCAGCCTGGCTAATTTTTTGTATTTTTGGTAGAGACAAGGTTTCACCATATTGCCCAGGCTGGTCTTCAACTCCTGAGCTCAAGCCATCTGCCCACCTTGGCCTCCCAAAATGCTAGGAGTACAGGTGTGAGCCACAGTGCCTGGCCTATCTTTTCAATTTCTAATTGATTTATCTTTTTCAATCAGATCACTGTCCAAACCAATTTATTATCAATCATTTTTTTCCAATTAAATTATTTTGGCCTTGTCATCTGGAACTCACCATATTATGCCAAAACCTATTATATGAGCTTCTGATTTTATCCCAAACTCAGATAGGATGAATCTTTTAAAAATTATCTGTCCATGAGGATTATGGTTGTGAAGCCAGAGGATGGGTGCATTTAGAGCTGATTAAAATGCAGGGGTATCTACCTTCTAGTGCCTGCGGGTATTTGCATCTGGGCAGTGGCACTGGAGGGCGGGTGCCATGAAGATCCTGACATAGGTGGCCTTGTTTTCCCTCCTGAGCAAGGTACCAGTTTCAGAGCCTGAGGCACTGTCTAACCGGAGGAGAGGCCCTCAACCCTGACGTGAGGGAGAAGTGGAAGCGCCAGACTGGTGTGGAGCTGTACGAGGCCTATGGCCAGTCTGAAACGGTGAGTGATGGAGAGGCCAGGTTGCTGCCTCATATCGCCTCAGAGCTTCCTACCTCTCCTGTCTGTCACCTCCCTGAAGCTACTCAGGGACTGCCCTGCCCCCAGGGGAGAAGCTGATAACAAAACTCCATCAGCTTTCCTTCCCTTTTGATTTCTGTATGTTCTCACTTATAAGCAGGGGCTAAGCTATAAGGATGCAAGACATACAGAGTGGTATAAAAGACTTTGGAGACTCAGAAGGAATAAGGGGGAGGAGGGGAATGAGGTTAAAAAAAAACTGCCTATTGGGTATAATGTATACTACTCAGGTGACAGATGCACTAAAATGTCAGAATTCACCGCTATAGAATTCATCCATGTAACAAAAAAACACTTGTATCCAAAAAGCTATTTAAACACACACATACACACACATACATATTTCTTAAAAGTTTAAAAAGGTAATTTAAAGTACTTTCACAATTATATCATGACCAGCAAGCCAGCCCTCACTGCTGAGGGCATTGTTTGTCTCTACCAAGACAGCCTACATCTGCCACTGTTCAGAGTCCAAAATTCTAAGCAACGTCCTCTATAGCCATATAGGAAGAGATCTAGGGATCAACTGAGTCTAAGCAATGTCCTCTATAGTCATATAGGAAGAGATCTAGGGATCAACTGAGTCTTTTGGCTTAGAGATGCATTAAGTTCTTTATGTTTGAGTGCTCATTGGAGTACCCCATAAATGTTTGTTGACTATGGAAAGAAAACAAGAAAGAATGAAAGAAAGAAAAAGAAAGAGAGACAGAAAGGAAGAGAAAGAAAGAAATTAAGGCAAGAAAGAAGGAAGACAATGAGGAAGGAAGGGAGAAAGGAAATAGAGAAGAAAAGAAAGGAAGGAAGAAAGGAAATAGGGAAGAAAGATGAAGGGAGGAGATAAGAAAATGGAGAAGGAAATAAGGGGGAAAGGAAGGAAAAAAGGAGGATAACTGGGCATGGTGGCTCACACCTGTAATCCCAGCACTTTAGTAGGCCGAGACAGGTGGATCACAAGGTCAGGAGTTCGAGACCAATCTGACCAACATTGTGAAACCCCATCTCTACTAAAAATACAAAAATTAGCCGGGGGTGGTGGCACACACCTGTAATCCCAGCTACTCAGGAGGCTTAGGATGAACCCAGGAGGCAGAGGTTTCAGTGAGCAGAGATCACGCCACTGCACTCCAGCCTGGGTGACAACAGCAAGGGTGTCTTAAAAAAAAAAAGAAAGAAAAATGAAGGAGGGAAGGAAGAAAACAGAAAAGGAGAAAGAAAGGAAAGAGTAAAGGAAGGAAGGAAAGAAAGGAGTAAGGGAGGAAGAAAAAATAAAGAAGGGAAGAAGAAAAGAGAAAGTGAGAGAGGAGAAGGGAAAGAAAGAAGAAAGTGAGGGTGGACGAAGAAGAGGGTGAGAGAAAGAGTTAGCAGTCAGGATGAGAGAAAGACATGGCCCAGTAAAGAAGTGAGTAGAAACGCTCTCCTTTATCAGTACTGTTTTCTCCCCAGGTTGTCATCTGTGCCAATCCGAAAGGCATGAAAATCAAGTCTGGATCCATGGGGAAGGCATCCCCACCCTATGATGTGCAGGTAGCAGCCTCTCACAACTTCTGGCAAAGCCTGGTGTGAAGAGGAGAAAGATGCACAGGCCTGGCTGGCACAGGCGGCTGGGCTGCTGGAATGGCCCAGGGTGTAGACACTCATATATGCACCTCTGTGATCTCCCTGCCAGATTGTGGATGATGAAGGCAACGTCCTGCCTCCTGGAGAAGAGGGGAATGTTGCCATTCGCATCAGACCCACCCGGCCCTTCTGTTTCTTCAATTGCTATTTGGTAAGAGGCAGGGAACAGCTGTTCTCATGACAGTGACTGTGTGCTAAACATTGTGCACCATACTTTGTAAATATCTATTTGTTTAATCCTTACAATGACTGCATGAAGTAGGTTGCTATTATTACTGATAAAGTTCTGTTATTGATAAGGAAGCTACTACAAAGTTGAAGTGACTTATCCAGCATCATGCAGCTAGGACAGGCAGGACATGGGATTGAAACATGGGTGTGTCTGAAAGGGCAAACATGTGACATGAGGGCAGCATCATTGTTTCAATGAGGAGAAAATCGAGGTGTAGGAAAGGAAAGGAGTTTCTCTCAAGGTCAAACTGTGGCGGGGCACAGTGGCTCATACCTCCAATTCCAGGACTTTGGGAGGCCGAGGTAGGTGGATCACCTGAGGTCAGGAGTTCAAGACCAGCCTGGCCAACATGGTGCAACCCCGTCTCTACCAAAAGTACAGAAATTAGCTGAGCATTGTGGCACGTGCCTGTAATCCCAGCTACTTGGGAGGCTGAGGCAGGAGAATCGATTGAACCCAGGAAGAGGAGGTTGCAGTGAGCCAGAGAGATTGTGCCACTGCACTCCAGCCTGGCCAAGGGACTGAGACTCCTCAAAATAATAATAATAAATAAATGAAGGTCGAACTGCACTACTGTGTCTGTCTTCAGGATTCTCTTTGTGGTTTTTTAGCAGTGCTTGTGTCCTGGGATTTCTTTCCAAGTTTCTGGGATAATTCAGTAACTGCTTCTCTTTTACATTCAGCTTGGCTGGTGTTTATGTCAGGCTTTTTCTTCACAGTTTTCTCTACAAAACTCTCAAACCTGGCTGTGCATTAGAAACACCTGGCAAGCCTCAGTTACAGCAGATGCTTGAGCCCCACCTAGGCCTAATTAAAATCAACATTTCTGATGGGGGTGGCTGTTTCCCAGGTGATTCGAATGTGCAGCCAAGCCTGAGAGCCACTGCTTAATAGAATGTCATCTCATGTGTCTAAGCTGTCAATCAGCTACACAATTAGAAGCAGCAGAAACAAATCAGCCTATTTGTTTTTGGAATGTTGCATTTTAGTGGTTTTTCTGTGACTACAAGAGAAATAATCTACCTTATTTTGTTTAAAATCACAGAAACTTCCAAAAAAAAAAAAAAAAAAAACCACAACAACATAGTAATCATAGCAAGCTGAGATCAGGTTAACATTTTAATGTATTTCCTGCTTATCAGTCTTGTAAATAACAGTAAATCTTTGGCCCCACTGAAAAATTTATTCATGTATTCATGAGTGTCTACTTTATGCTGCTAGGTGTTCAGGACTCTGGTACTTACTGCATTGTGTGCATTCTCTCTGGTCCTGAGATCATTCCACTGAGAGTACTAAAGTAATTTGAAAAATTATTTGCTAGAAAAGAATCTTGTTTTTTTTTTTTTTTACTGTTTCTATCACCTGTACCAACAGTGCGTTTTCTTTCCAGATTATTCCTTTTTATTTATTATTTTTTTTTGAGACAGGGTCTCACTCTGTCATCCAGGCTGATGTACAGTGGTGCAATCTCAGCTCTCTGCAACATCTGCTTCCTGGGCTCAAGCAATTCTCGTGCTTCAGTCTCCCAAGTAACTGGGACTATCTGCGCACACGACTTCACTGGGCTAATTTTGGTATTTTTAGTAGAGACAGGGTTTCGCCATCTTGGTCAGACTGGTCTCTAATTCTGGGCTTCAAGTGATTTGCCCACCTCAACCTCTCAAGGTGCTGGGATTACAGGTGTAAGCCACAGTGCCCGGCCCAGCTCATTCTTAATTAAGAGAAAAAATATTAAATCTCTTTGTGAGAATCATGAAACATGTGAAGATTATTATAGAGAATGTCAGACCAAAATTGTTCTGTGATTGATGGGTGATCATCAGAATTGATAAGCTAAGCTCATTCTTCCCCCACAATAAACATAAACATTTCAAATTCACAACGGTGATTCCCATTTATCTGAAATTGCACATGTCAGTTAAATGAATATGCCCATGTCAACTTTATGTCCCATATAAGCAATGTGCTTATTTTCCTGGGGAAACAAACTGTCAAATGCATAAACATTTGTTACAGTGCTGGCTGTTTATAACAGAAAAAAAGGTGAAGGGACTATCTAAATTTCTAATACCAGAAATTAGTCATGTAAAGGATTATATTATATTACAGCATTGTGAAAAAAAGCAAAAAAAAAAAAAAGAGAGAGAAAGAAAATAAGAAAAAGAAGAGAGAAAAAACTTAGAAAAAGAACCCAAATTTCTAATATCAGGAATTTGTTCAAATATATAATATCACCACCACAGAGAAATATTATGCAACTATTTAATATAATTTTTTTTTTTTTTGGAGGCAGGGTCTCATTCTGTCACCAAGGCTGAAGTGCAGTGTCACAATCATGGCACACTGCAACCTCAACTTCCTGGGCTCAGGTGATCCTCCCACCTCAGCCTCCCGAGTAGCTGGGAGTACAGGCACACACCACCATACCCGGCTAATTATATATATAGATATAGCTATAGATAGATAGATATAGATATGTGTGTGTGTGTGTATATATATATATGGGATTTCACCATGTTGCCCAGGCTAGTCTTGAATTCCTGGGCTCAAGTGATCCACCTGCCTCAGCCTTCCAAAATGCTAGGATTACAGGCATGAGCCACCATGCCTAGCCTATGGGAGTTCTTAATATATTCTTGATATTGGTCCTTTGTTTGTTATAATAGTTGTTAACATCTTCTCCCCAGGTTGTAGCTTATCTTTTCACTCTCTTTTACCTTCTTTTTGTTGAACAGAAGCATTCATTTCCATGTCATCAAATTAATAAGTTTTTAAATTTTATGGATAGCGTTTTTTGTCTTATGAAATCATTTTCAACTTTGGGGTAGAAAATACACATATTCACTTACAGTTTCTTCTAATAGTTTTAAAGTTTTGCTTTTGACATTAAAGTTTATAATCCTTGGGAGGCCGAGGTGGGTGGATCACAAGGTCAGGAGATTGAGACCATCCTGGCTAACATGGCTCACCCTGTCTCTACTAAAAATACAAAAAAAACTAGCCAGGCATGGTAGTAGCCACCAGTAGTCCCAGCTACTGGGAAGGCTGAGGCAGCAGAATCACTTGAACCCGGGAGGCGGAGGTTGCAGTGAGCCAAGATCGTGCCTTTGCACTCCATCCTGGCAACGGAGCGAGACTCTGTCTCAAAAAAAAAAAAAAAAAAAAAGTTTATAATCCATCTCTAGTTGATGTGTGCATGATATGAGAGAGGAATCCATTTTGTTTTTTTCTACATGAAAAACCATTTTGTTGAATAAATCCTCCTCTTCCCAGTTATCTGTCATGCTAATTTTGTCAGATATAAAAGTTTGATACAGGCCAGGTGTGGTGGCTCACGCCTGTAATCCCAGCACTTTGGGAGGCCAAGGCAAGTGGATCACCTGAGGTCAGGAGTTCAATACTAGCCTGACCAATATGGTGAAACCCCTTCTCTACTAAAAATGCAAAAATTAGCTGGGTGTGGTGGTGGGCACCTGCAGTCCCAGCTACTCAGGAGGCTGAGACAGGAGAATTGCTTGAACCCAGGAGACAGAGTTTGCAGGGAGGCGAGACCACGCCATTGCACTCTAGCTTGGGCGACAGAGCAGGACTCCATCTCAAATAAATAAAAAGTTTGATATGGTCATAGATAGATTTTGGCACTTTCTGGTATTTCCTTGATCACTTGCTGTGTCCCTGTACTGATACCATAAAGCCTTATCCACAAAAGCATTACCATAAGTCTTCATATGTAGACTTCTTCTTATTCAACTTATGTAGAAGGGTTTTACCTATTCTTAGCCCTTTGCTCATTCATTTACATTTTAGAATCAACTTGTCAAGTTCCATGAAAAATATTTGCTAATATTTTGATTAGAACTGTATTGTCTATAAAACAACTTAAGGATAATTGATATCTCAATTAACTATTTTTTGTTTTGTTTTGTTGTTTTGTTTTGAGACAGAGTCTCTGTCACTTAGGCTGGAGTGTAGTGGGGTGATCTTGGCTCACTGCAGCCTCCGCCTCCTGGGTTCAAGCGATTCTCCTGCCTCAGCCTCCCAAGTAGCTGGAATTACAGGCACCCGCCACCGCAGCCAGCTCATTTTTGTATTTTTAGTAGACGGGGTTTCTCCATGTTGGCCAGGCTGGTCTTCAACTCCTGACCTCGTGATTCATCCTCCTCGGCCTCCCAAAGTGCTGGGATTACAGGCGTTAGCCACCACATCCAGCCAGTTACGCCTTTCTTTCACTTTATTTATGTGTTCTTTAATGTGTAGACTTTTAAGTTTCTGCATACACACCTTAGAGATTGTGTGTTAGATATATTTTTAGATATTGGTAGCTTATATTTTTTCTTTTTTCTCAGAATGTACTTGTTGAATTGTGATATAATTTGCCTACAATAAAATTCACCCATGTTAAGTGTGCAGGTTAATGACTTTTTTTTTTTCCATTTATTTATTTTATTGCATTTTAGGTTTTGGGGTACATGTGAAGAACATGCAAGATTGTTGCATAGGTACACATGTGGCAG